AAACCCTAAACCCTATACACCTTAACCAAACAAGGAAACCTATGCTCTGATCCCTAAGCCAAGAAGTCCAAAGCCTGAACCCAAAAGGCCCTACCAGAGGGGCCTCAATATTGAACTGTGTAATATAGGGGCCTTAATAATTAGAATATGGTTTTGGGGTCCTTTATAGTATAAATATAATCTGGAACACCCAAAATAATATAGGTAATTATTGAGGCCCCTATATTAGGGCTTTCGGATTTTTTTTTTGCGGGAGAGCCACACTGTGGTGCCCGATTCAGGCTGACAAAGGCATGATTAAGGAATTCAGGTTTTTGGGGGCCTTGAACCTAAACCGCTCAGCCCAAAAAAATATCTTGACTTGGTTGGTAGTTCCTCACTGTGCGGCTCTAAGTCCCACTAAGGAATGCTTCCCAACACCAGCAATTAGCACCAACGTTTAAACCTTAAGCCCGCAGCTCCCGGCCAAGAGATGCCCCCGAAAGTGAACCCAGAGGTAACACACCCATCCTGTGAGACCTGAAAGCCAACCGAAACGACATCAGCCCTCTTGCAGAATGTTGCAATACCACCCGGAAACCCCTCTCCCTCTGGTTTTCCTCTGGGCGGCGAGGTTTCCCACCGGCTGGATGGCCCGAGAAGGCTTGAACAGGGGTACTTTACGCATAAGAATCGGGTTCGGGACAGGTCAGACGGCTTAGGTGTTAGGGTAATGATTTAGTCAGGGACGTAGCAGCTTATCGATCGCATCTTCTTGTGAGATCCTTGTGTTGAGGCCAAGAGCCGGATTGCCGCAATCTGAGATTATATGATACAGGGGACGGGAACAAACTGAACCAGTTAGAATAGGGGTTTAATGGTGGTCTTGTAGCTTGAACTGTCTGTTCAAACTTGTTTTATTGCAGGACTTGTGCAACAGGAGCACAGCCTTGCAGGGAAGAGAAGAGGAACTATTGCGAGTTGTACGGCCTTCGTCATGGCTCAACCCCAAACCCTAAACCCTAAACCCCTAAACCGTAAGATCTAAACCCTAAACCTTAAACTCCTAAACCTTAAGCCCTAAACCCTAAACCCCTAAACCCTAAGCCCTAAAACCTAAGCCCTAAACTCCTAAACCCTTTATGGCTCAACTGTAGGATTCAAACATTAGGTCGAGGGTTGAAAGGTTTAGTCTTGAGGGTTTCAGGTTTATATGTAAGGTGGGTTTGGGGTCTTAGGGTCTGGGGTTTGGGGCTTGTAGGTTTGCTTGGATCCTAAGGAACCTACCTTTTCAAAGATTTGTATAAGGAACCCTAGAAAGGGTGGTCTTATACGGTTAAGGTAGGGTTTCAGGTTGTAAGGAGTCAGCTTTACGATTTGGGGTTTAGGGCTCGGGGTTTGGTCCTGCGGTGTCTTTCCCAAACCGTGCAATGCTTCTGCGAGTTGTCTGGTCCGTGGAAGATTCCACAAGCGATGAAAGCCTATGTACTTAGCACTTTGTAGGACTTCGAGCCTTTTTTTCGTGGAAGCTAAAGGCGACAAAAACCGCAACCTGAACTTGAACCCCACGGCCACGACATGAAAATTCATCGCCGCCGCCCTGGCAGGGTTCCAAGTCTTAGTTCGCTTTCGCCGTCCCATCGGCGATGTGGCCCCCCTGGAGGTGGATGAGAGTAGCGCGCAGGATTGAGTTAGGCTTCGGTGTCTAGGTGCAGGGCAGAACAAGGTTTCCAGAAGATTCGGCTAAAGGATCTCCTGCGGAATTCACAGGTCTGCTTGTTTCAATGAAGGGGCTCAGCGCCTATGAGCCCCGGTAGAGTAGAAAAAATTAGCACAGTCGTAGAACGAACCCTAAACCCTAAACCCTAAACAAAATCCCCAGAGCAGGCTCCAAACCCCTCGCATGCCTCGCCCAAGCCTAGAGTGTCCTCTTGTTATCCTCTTCTCAAGATTCGCGACCATTGCAGAAAGGAAACATACACACAAACAAATCCCACCGAATCCGGAACGGATGAATGCGTTTAGGTCTTAGGGTGTGTTTGCTTCCTACTATGTCTCCTGGGCTGCTCTACACCCGTTTTAAAGATGTACAACGTGTCTTTAGGGGCTTCAAAGCTGGAGAGAAAAGGCAGGAGGTTGGTTGAGGGTCCCAGAGACTCCAATATCCCCTAGTTAAGGAATACACCTTAAGTTATAGTAGGATCCCAAATATGATCTAAGGTATAATCCTTAATTAAGGGACATTGGAGTCTCTAGGAGGCGTAGGGCATGGCAGCATGCCCGAACCGAAGCCTGGTATGGCACCCTTGTAAGGGGCCCTCAAGCCTTGGACCATAAGCCATGAAGCCTTACCCTAACCCCCCAGGTACTTACTATATAGGGTACTATAGCCCATAGGGCCCTGTATAGTAGGTACCTGGGGGGTTAGGGTTATATAGCACGTTCAGCCCTAACCCCCTGGACCTCAAGCTATGATGCGTCCTAAACCCTAATTAATGAAGCCCCAGACAGAACCCAGAAGCTTTGTATGCTACGCCCGTACCTCCCTAATTTAGAGTCCTACGCATGAGAAACACAAAGGCTGAAACCCGGAACAAAACGAGACTGCCAGGTCCACACCACCGGATTCCCTGCCGAGTTCCGTCTCGAGGCGACCGTCTGGTGGGCGGCGTGAAGAGAGAGATTTCGGGTGTAGGGTGAAGAGTCGCACATGAAGTGACTGGGGATCTAGAAACATTACCTTTAGGGTGTAGGGTTTAGGGGTTTGGGGTTTGTTTCAGCGAAAATACCGGGGTCAGAACCTGCTATTATGTCAGGTTTGGGGTTACAGGTAGTGTTCGTAAGCTTGGAAGATAAGCGCAGCTGCAGCATCCTTAGTTACAGACGAGAGCATGTGGCGTTAGTTAGTAGTCCCCATGAATAGTGCAGTATACCAATACCCCAAGACCTTGTTCTAATGATTGCAGGCCATGTGCAAGAATGCATATGGGTAGTTGTCAACATTATGGTCCCTTTTGGGGTACCCTAAACAATAGGTGCCGTATTATACTAAGGACCCAAAAAGGGACCATAATTTTGACAACCACCCATATAGGTGAGGATCAGGGTTCAGGACATTTTAGGACTTGTCAGCTCAGGGTTCTGATTCCCCAGTCGTAGCCTCCTTGGGTCCTTTCGGTCACCACTTCAAAGCCGTGTACTTCTGATACTTCTGCTATGTATACATTCAATTTTCGAGGGCCAGGGAGCAGCAGTGTTTAAGGTTTCACTGCCCTGGGCCCTAAAGGCCCCTACACCCTAAGGCCCCAAACCCTAAACCCTAGGGGTCTCCTGGCAAGGTTTTGGCTCTCCGCACGCCACAGTAAACAGAAGCCCTGAAACCTAAGCCCACAACTTGACGTCTGGAAATCCCTAATGAACCTCAGTGAAACCTCGAACCCCACAGACCCGTACAGCAACTTCGGTGGCTTGCATCAAACCGAAAAGAACAAGCTGAAACTGCTCTGCAGGTTTTCACCATTGAGGATGGAGACGCGGATGCGATCTTCCTTGAGAAGATTCCGGCGGATCTGTTTCAGGCTCGCCTCGGGGCTTTGATTCCTAAACTAGGGGCATGGAGCTTGCTGGGTGAAGCTGCGGAGGCTTCTGGGGTTGCACAAAGGTCGATTCATAATTTGATGAGGTTTTTGTGGTAAGCATGATGTTAGATTATGCTAGAGTCTTAGTAGGAACCCTAAGGAATAGGATTGATCCTTGTTCAGGCCTCTACCTGAGTCATTAGTCTACTTGGAATGGCCCCTGTATCACAGTGTCTTGCACTGGTTCAGTACTGGAACGATCTGAGTGATGAGTGGAAGCTCGTGGAAACAACCGAAACTCGAGACATTTATGATTTGGGCTTAGAGTTTTGAGTGCACCCCCCCGACGCCCTAAGCCCCAAACCGCCAACAATGTCCGTGCTGTTGTTTGCAGAATGTTTGGGCATGGGGTGTCATTCTGCGAGGCCTCAACGCCCCCTTGAAGCTCTGTAATGCTAAATCCCGCCGACGCCACATCAGTTCGTAACACCACACAAACTCTCTAAGACCTGAGCGCAAGGCAGCATAGTGCAGAGGTCTGACGTGTTTTGATGGTCCCCCTTAGCAGTTCCTACATGATCATGCTATAAGATACCTGGAAACCTTTTCTTATTGTTAAGGTCACGGTTTAGGGTTTAGGGTTTTGGGTTTGTTTAGGGTTTAGTTTTTAGGGTTTAGGGTTTAGGGTTATTGAATTTTAGGCTCGAAGACAACAAGCGGAGACCAGCGAAGGGTAAAGTTGGGCACCTGATGGATAAACGCCCTTTGCTTAAGGGCTTTGTTCTTAGGCTTAGGATCCCTATTAACTTTTGATCAAGGTCATATTCAGGGTCCCTAGTAACCTAGTAAAACATTTCATTGATATCTATTCAAGGTAGGGTGTCTTATTTATCAGAAGTCTGCATCAAAGCAAGGGCCTAGGGTTTGGCAGCGGATTCTCCTTGTGTCTACGAGCTTTTCCATTCCGGGGTTCAGGGTTCAAAGAAGTCACTAGGTTAAGAGCTCTTGTGGCTTTTTGTTTGGACATTTGGACTGTGGTTTTGCCGAAGCCCTAAACCCCCCTATGCCCAGAATCCACAAGCCGGAAGTCCTAAACACAAACATCGAAGCCCTTAAACCCCGAAGCCCCTAAACCCCGAAACCCTAAACCCCTAAACGGCCCCTAAACCCCAAAACCCCTCAACCCCTAAACCCCTAAACCCTAAACCCCTCAACCCCTAAACCCCTAAGCCGTAAATCCCTAAACCGGAAGCCCCTAAACCCCGAAACCCTAAACCCCTAAACCCTGAACCCCTAAACCCTAAACTCTGAACCCAAAGTCCGAACCCCCAAAAACCACCAAAAAACCCGAACCCGACGTCGCCTCACATCCCCTAACCCCCTAAACCCTTAAACCCTCATTCCTAAACCCTAAACCCTAAACCCCTAAACACCTAAACCCCGAAGCCAGGTTCCACTCCCTGATCCGGAGTCCGAAACGCTGCAGGCCAGGAGCGGACTTATAGGGTTTTAGGGTTTAGGGTTCTAGGGTCTAGGGTTTAGGGTTTAGGGTTTAGGGGTTTAGGGTTTAGGGTTTAGGGGTTTGGGTTTAGGGGTTTAGGGCTTCGGGGGTTTAGGGGTTGGGGGATTCCTGGACGCTGAAGAACCTACCTTTTTTAGGGTTCCTGATTATGATGTCTCTATATAAGTCCTTACAAAGGTGGGTTATCTGTGGTTAAGGTAGAGACTAGGGGGATAAGGGTTTAGGGTTTAGGGGTTAGACTGATTGTCGATGGCGGCGATGGGGGGGGAGGTATAGAAGCCTCAATACTTGCCAACCAACATTCCGTAGGTTTCCTCTTACGATAAGTATACTATAAAGGAGCAGGAAGTATTGAGGCCCCTACATTAGGGCTATGGGGTTCAGGGTTTAGGGCTAAGTAGGTCGGCATGCAGAGACTCTTACCGGAGGCTGTAGGGTGTTATGGTTATGGTTGTCTGATATTCTTTTCTAGTTGTAGTGGGTGATACATTGGCGAATTGGTGATACAAAGACTTGTGAACTACCATGGCCTTACTTACTAAAAACCCGACTACCTAAGTCCCCTGAACCTCTCCTGAACCTTTGTGTAGGGGTGCTTGTTTCAGGTGGTGACAGAGGGCATCGTGGGCGCTTTTGGCGGCTCTGAGGTGCGTCGTTGCGGTCTTGTCAGGCTTTTTGCCAGTGGGTCCAACAATTTATTGCTTTAGGTCCTCAGGTTATACCAGGCGTCATAGTGTCATACCCAAGTTAAAGGTTCGTAGGGTTTGTTGACATGACGCAAGCCCAAGTTGTCGATCTGCCGTCCGGTTTGGAGAAGGCTCTCATCCGTTGGGAAGTAGAGCGTATTCCCTTCGCAGGGACACGCTCTCATGGTTACATGTCTACTCAGTGTCAGACTCTACTGGGATGTGCAAGATTTGTGGTTGCGCAAGTGCCGGTTCTCATATACTCGGAGTCTAAGCTAAGTCGGGGCGCTCAAGATCTTTCTGCAGATCAAGGAGGCTTTCACGGATCGCAGGGGCTCGTCCTTGGGCATGTCCGGCCGGCCTGACGAGCCGACACCCAGCTTGCTTCCGCAGACTGTTCTTTGTCCGGAAATGCAGTTTCAACTTTGACACCCTGAATGCGCATGGTTGCATTATACCGTCTCGTTTAAGTCCCGAAGAAACCGTGCCATACGATACTTTTTGTACCCTATATGGCTATATGAGCTTGCTTGCAGGTCTTGGGTTATCAGTACTCTCACGACCTTGTTCCCACCATCTTCAGCGCCCAGCCCACCCATGTGAACGCCACGGACGCCTGGCTTGGGCTCGGCTACCGACATTTTAGGCGGGGTTCTCGCTAAGGGTCTTTTTTGGGGTTTTGTGTGAATGAATGAGGGGTTTTTGGTTGGGATTGCCAGAGTTTTTCTCTGGGTTTGCTTGGGATCATTGTTAGGGTTTAGGGTTTAGGGTTTAGGGTTTAGGGTTCAGGGTTTAGGGTTTAGGGTTTAGGGTTTAGGGTTTAGGGTTTAGGGTTTGGTTTACGTAGTGTTTCGGGTGCTCGAGCCCAGGGCCTGGCCTTTCGATCCGGAGTTGGGGCTTCGGGGCCAAGTGTGCGCCTCATAAACCCCAAGGTTTAGGGTTTAGGGTTTAGGGTTTGGGGCTGAGGGCCCCCACTGAATCACCATTCCTTCAACCAAGAATCCGAAGCCAGAAACATCAAAATCCCGCAACCTCTTTTTTGTTGCTTAAAGCCCCACTTGAAAAGCTCCCTTATCCTCCGGAGAACCCCTCTCAAACATTACGAAGCCCTCTAAGGTTCCACACAAATCCCTACAAAACCATAAACGCTGCTTACCAGGTCCGTCAATTGACCCTCCAATTACTTGGAGGTTCATGGGTAGTTATATGTGGAGTTATAAGTCCCCTAATATAGGTTATATCTATAGTTACCTTACTTATAACCCTACTTATAACTGCCCCTGAACCTCCAATTAAGGACCACCTAACTTTGGTCATCAGCGGCCTGCAGCGGAATTCCTCGGACGGCTGGGTGGACGACCTGCAGCACGGCGAAGATGGTTGTCATGGGGTTTGGGCGGTTTATCGAGCTTTACGAGCAGGAATACTATTTGATCCTCTTTCCGTACAGTTCGAGGATACAGAATACAGGTGTAATTACAATATACCCCGAAGTCCTTTTCTGATTCTTGAGGTCCTTGTATTACAGTATTGCAGGGTGGAGCTTTCATGGCCTTTACAATTGCGGTTTAGGGTTCTTGTGGATGAAGAAGTTTTGGGCCAACAGGCTTTTTGGTGTTTGGTATTTTGGTGTTTCATTTATGGTGTAGAGGTTAGAGTGTCAAGATATAATGTTCAACGTTTTTGTTCTAGTGGTTTGGATCCGAAAACAATTAGAAAAGGGTTGCGGGATTCATTCTAGTAGGTTTAATTAACCGCTGATAAAACCAGTACAACTCCCTTAAAGGATCCCGTCTAAGGAGAATCCATAGGCAAATCCGCAAGCTTCCAGCCCAAAACGCTGGCTTAAGCAGGTGAAGGCCAAGAAACTCCCTGCCTGCCCCAATCACTAGTACCGGGCAATTCGTAATGATAGCCTCAATGCCTAAACCCTAAACCCTAAACCCTAAACCCTAAACCCTAAACCCTAAACCCTAAACCAGAGACCTTAAACCGAGATTCCACCCCCGGAGCGCTGTAAACCTTATGGGGACCAAGGGGCCTGGTCAGAAGACCAAAAAGCAAGGCTTCTTTGACCAAACCCTGAAACCTAAACGGCGCTTATGGAGGAACATAAAACTTGTTTAAAACTCTACAGGAACAGCAAAGGCAATCTAAACCCGAAGCTCCAAACGAAACTCCGAACCCTGAGCAGAAAAACAACGGCTTGCACAAAACCTTGAAGGGAACGCTAAACCCCAAGAGCCTTTAAAGGAAGCTGCAAAGGAACCCGGAAAGAGCTCTCTCTAAGGAGCCGTTAAGGACTTCTTAACCCTAAATATCAACTCCACAACACTAAGAATCCAAGCTCTGAGCCCCAAGAACTTTAAGGGAAGCCATGAAGGAACCCGAAATGAATCCTCAAAGGAACCCTACCCCAAAACCCCCAACCCCAAACCCAAACCCCCAAAACCCTGCCCTAACACCCGAAACCTGAAACCCTCAAACCCTGAAGCGGAAAACCCTTAACCACAAAACCCCCTAATGTAGGGGGCCTTAAGAATTACCTACATTATTCGGGGGTTCCTTATTATAACTATGGTATAATGGGCCCCAAAACCGTATTCTGATTATTAAGGCCCCTACATTAACCCCAAAACCCTAAACCCTTAACCCCAAAACCCCTTAACCCCAAAGCCCTAACCCCCAAATCCCTTAACACCAAAACCCTAAACCCTTAACCCCAAAAGCCTTTAACCCCAAAGCCCCAAGACTTAGCTCAGCGACCTCCCCCGGCGAGGCAAATTCTCATCGGTGACGATGCCGGGCTTTGCGGTGACCTCCAGGATCGGTCTCAGCAACTAAGGTTTAGGATTTTGGGGTAGGGTTTAGGATTTAGGGCTGTGGGGTTTAAGGTATTTGGGGGGTTTTGCATGAACTTAAAGCGGCCGTCAGTATGGTGTGGAAACGGCTTTATAGGGGGCCTTGTGCTAGCATGGCTACAACAGCGTTGTAAACGTTGTTTAAGTATGGGGATTTCTTCTGTGTTTAAACCTTTTTCATCGGGTGGAGAAGTCACCCCTCTCCACCTCTTAATTATGGGTTCTCAGCTTCCGGTAGGCCTGGTAGGCACAAGCCGAGGGGACGAAGATGCGATTCAGCATCGGGGAGTTTAGAATCTCGCTCATCAAATCTGAGGGCCACGGAGCGGAGAACACAAGTCGAATGATGTGGCAAAGCTACTGCATGTCTTGGGCGCAGAGCATCGAGGGCGTCTCATACAGCGAAAAAAGGAGGCAGGAACGAGATGGCTGGGCTTCAAGAACGACCCGCAGATCGTTCGAGACAAGAAAGGCCCGCATGGCCATTTGAGGTTGAAAATTAGGGTTTATAGGGTTTAGGATTTAGGGTTTAGGGTTTAGGGTTTAGGATTTAGGGTTTAGGATTTAGGGTTTAGGGTTTATAGGGTTTAGGGCTTATGGTTTAGGGTTTGCGACGTATGACGATGTGGTGGTCTTCTCTGAGCTGAAGAAAGAGTGCTCAATGAGTAGACAGGCAAGAAGCTCAGAGAGGAGGGTGGTTCGCAAATTTCGGGTTGGGGTTTTATTGGGTAAGGGTTATCTATATCGCTTAGAGGGCCGAAATCTGAACCCGAGCTAGCTGGCGGCCTAGACCCCCTCACAACGGAAATGCACAATGCTATGAACTCGAAATCTGCGAAGCCCTTACGAAACCTTTGTCAGAATCACGAAACTTGAAGGTTAACCCGAAACCATATCCCGCTCCCAAATCCGAAATGCAAAGCCTTCCCCTGAAAGCTTTGAGTACAACATGCGCGGCGCTGAATGATAACTTGCCTCCCGCAGTCCCGACGTTAGAATTTAGGGTTTATGGTTTATGGTTTTGGGTCTGGTTAGGCTTAGGGCTTCAGTTCAGGTCTACGATAGTAACCTGCCCCAAAACCCTGTCCCAATCATTACCATGGGCGCTATATCTCAGGAAGTCCAGGACTCTGACAACGACACCGCAGTGGAAGCGGGGATTCTCGTCGCCAGTGAGCTTGTCTTGGAGATCATAGCTTTCAACCTGTTTTTTGGGTTGAGGTTTTAGAAACTGGTTTTGTTAGGGTTTAGGTTTTCTTCAGTTTTAGAGATTCAAGTTTTGGGGTTTAGGTTTCGATTCGGCCAGTCAGATTACTGCAAGATTCAGAGGTTCAGGTTTTGGGGGCTTGGGGTGCGGACGACTGGACGGCGGCTAGAAGGGTAGTCCTACAAAAGGCTTCTAATGACTGTCATCTGAAGGCCGGCTTCTCGGGCGTGCTGCATTGAAGATATACCCTGAACCCTAAACCGTAAACGTTATGTCCAGGTGGGTTTCTGAGGGGTCAGAATTTAGTAAGTCAAGGACGGGTTTCGGTGCGAAAAGGCAGCAGGCAGCGAGTCGGGGGTGGGGTGGACTTTTCTTGGATTTTTGCGGCGTTCATGGTTCTTGTAAGAATTTTATGATCCCTAAACCCTAAACCCTAAGCCCTAACCCGGTTTCGGGAAGTCTTTTTGTTAATAACCTGAGCTCTGGGGCACCAAAACCCTACAAAACCCTAAGCCCAACGCTTTCCGCCCTTTGAACTCTTCGAAGACCTTATAATGTTGAAGCCTGGATAATTGCCAAGAGTTGCCAACAGTATTCCTTTGCTAGCCCTAATTACCAAGTCTCCTGATCCTTTCAGTAAGCCTGTAAATCCCGGTAATCCCCCATAAAACCCCATTTAGAAAGTCTGTTTAAACCCTACAGAAACCTCCATAAACCCCATTTAGAAACTCTGTCAAAACCCTAAAGAAACCTCCATAAACCCCGTATAGAAACTCTGTCCAAACCCCAAAGAAGCTCCTACCTCCCTAACAATGGACGAAGTCCCTGATCCTTCGACCCTGACGTTTACAGCCCTACTTACTAATGTAGGAGCCTAAATCATTAGCAACATGATTCCTTAGGGTTCCGTATTATGACTATACTACAAAGGAGCCCAAAACCCTATTAAAATTCTTAAGGCCCCTACTTTAGGTGAGGTGCCTTGATCTTTTGAGTGGAGCTCAGGATCACAGTCATCTGCAAGCTCTCCGATGCTGCAGCCGGGGAGCACCAGGTGCACCTCATCTCCGTCTCACAAGGTGGGCATCCTAAGTTTAGGGGTTTAGGTTTTAGGG